TTTACCAGCCTATTTACTGATGTCAGATAATTAATAATAGTTGGTTTGTTTCATTGCACTGTTGTCTATGGCTCTGAGATCAGCTGAGAATGATTAGGCAAAGTGTATGCCAAGTCTAACCATCACACATGTCTGCATCATGACTGTGAATAGAAAGTTATAGGTGTGACTATTGTTACTGTAACCCTTCACAGTCACAGCTGGCAGCAATCAGGGCCAGTTTCAGTATGTAGGGGTTCCTTTTCAACAATATGCTACTAAACAAGTGTGAACTCCTACCCAGTAACCTGGAGCAATTACATACCACTCCTGGGCACCTCTAAGAGGCAATACTTCCCCTCTCACAAGCACAAAGCCTGAGTGTAGCAAAAAAAATTAATAAAAGGAGGAAAATAACTCAGCATTAATTTGGGAAAACAACACAAACATTTCAAAAGGAGGAAAATAACAGCATTAATTTGGGAAAACACCACAAACATTTAAAAGGCAGAGCTGCAGTGTGATTAGCTCCTAGCTGCGGCTCTGCAGTTCCCCCCATTGACTAATCAAGTAGACTAATTTTTGGGTCTGCATATTCTAAACTCAAAACTCCTGTCATCTGAAGAAGTGGGCTGTGCCCACGAAAGCTCATGATACCACGTACATGTTTTGTTGGTCTATAAAGTGCTACCAGACCATTTTTGTTTAAGTTTATCCAAGCAGTCGAAGGAAATTCCATTGACTACTTGATTAGCTGATTACTTGCAATTTAACATCCCTCGTGTGTGTGCTCAAAAATACAGAGGAGGGGAAGGTGAGACTGTTAGGATGAAGGTGGGTGGTAGGACACCAAAGTAAAAAAGAAAAATGCTTCATGATGATTTTATTAGCTCTAACATGTTTCTAAATGATCACACACATAAAAAACTTAGACACATTTGTCTACTACTTGTGACAGATGTTATAGAGCTGTAAGAATCCAATCTGGGTACTTTACTTTTTCATATGGCTTGGCAAACACCTTTTGTCCTCTTCATTTAAGGAGTCAATATCAGAGTTCTAATTAGTCAACTTCTGAACTGAAGTCTTGGTTTCTTCCAGTAAGTTTTCAATGGCTACTTCTCTGATCCAAGAGCAGCTTCCATTGCTCTACAAAGATCCTCTACTGTTTAATTGACCCAGCTGGTTTCAATAATAGACTTGCAAGAGAATGGCGATTGTCTTCTCTGAACTTAGTAACAAAAGTAGTCCATGAACTTCACTATATAGATCTGTCCCTTCTTGGTACATACTTTCCAAAGCCAATAATAATGGTTCCAGTAATTTTAAGACAACAGCCAAGGATCACTCATGAGAAAGCCAGCAAGTTTTTCCCAAGTTGAACTAATGAATTTTTGACAATGTGCCTTCTGTATTTTCCAAAACATTGAATCCTTTTGCACTCTTGTTGAAAGAGTATAATGAAGACATTAAATGTATAGCTTTTTAAATGCCCTTTGAAGATTCAACACTTTGTACTTGTACTAGTTGGAGTTAAGGATGTTAAAGACTAGTTGACTATCTGATAAGCAAATGCTTATCAGATAGTTGAGTTGACTAGTCGATTCCCCCTCCCCTTGCTGCCTCTATTATATGGGGGGGAAGGGGAAAGAGGGTACTTCAAAGCAGCAATGCCGCATAGCTGAGCCCTGGCTCTGCTGAAATTACGCGCGGAGCGCAGAGCCCGGGGTCAGCTGGGGACACAATGGGCTCTGCATGGCATTTCAAATTGGCAGCACAATATGGAGCCCGGGGTCCATGAGGGCACTTCCACTTTGAAATGCACAATAGCCCCCAGCTGGGGACTCTTCTACATTTCAAAACTGGCATGCCTGCGTGCAGCCCCAAGTCAGCAGTACTTCCATCTGGTCCTGGGCTGCAGGTGGAGTTCCACATTCCTCGGGGGCTCTTGTACATTTCAAAGGAGGAATGCGGAAGTACCTATCGACTAGTTGATGGAAATTTAATCAACTAGTAAATTAACCAATATTTAACATCCTTAGTTGGAATATATATAGCCTCTGCAGTATTTGTAGGAGAGATTAGAGTTATGCTTTTCTCTGAGCAAAGTTTATACTCCACTATGTCTTCCAGAAAAGTTTGAAACTCCATCACATGCACAAGCAGCTATCTGTTTGGGGTTTAATTGACAATGATTTAACTCTCTTCTATGGTGGGGGTTGTCAGAGATACAGTTGATGTGTTCTATTTAACCTGACTATCTAGTAATTAACCTACCTATCATTGATAGCAACATAACATATTCAGTGTCTTAATGCTTGATACCCCTTTGCAACGATGCATTCATTGGCCATTTTGGGCACATTTTCTGAATGTGGTGTGAGACTTTCACTGTTTAACTATATATTTCTAACCAATCAGTTGAGTTTCTTGCAGTATTTGATCATCTTGGTTGGAAGCAATGTCTAACTTTAGGATTAACAAATGACAATACATTTAACATTGGCCTCTAGTTTGTAGATATAGTATCTCTTGCTTAAAGAGAAAGTATGATGTGACAGCCATGTGTGTTGAAATAAACTGTGCCTCCAGCATTTTTAACAGCCTTTTAAGTACTTCTAAAATTGGCTTTGACAGTCATTGGCTTATAAGGCTTTCTGCATGTTGATGCAGTCTAAAGGACTGGTGCTTTGTAGCCTCTTTACATAGGTTGCCTGCACTGGCTAGCAAACAAAACTTCTCCACTTTTATTATATAATTCCATGGTATGCTCTCATCTTGAATACTGTGTGCAGTTCTGGTTGTACCATCTAAATAATAAATAATATATACACATACATATACTGAGTTGGAGAGGGTACAGAGAAGGGCAATTAAAATGATTAGGAGTATGGAACAGCTTCCATATGAGAAGAGTTTTAAAAAACTGACTTTTCAGCTTGGACAAGAGACAGCTAACGGGGGAATATGAAAGAGGTCTATAAAATCCAGATTGGTATGGAGAAAATGAATAAGCAACAAGAACGAATGGTCACCCAATGAAATTAAAAAGCAACTTTGAGTACACACAGAGCTCTTCTCGAAGTACAACAAAATCCTCTTTTTCAAATTGCTTAAGATGTCTTCCAGACTTGTTTTAGAAAAATCTGTTTGATCATTTTTTGAGGTGTTATCTATTAAAGATCCAAATTTTAGGAATTGCTCAGTTCTGTCACCTCCTAACAAATTCAACAGCCTCCCATTCTTCTTCCTCTCTTAAATACTTTTGTTTAAATAAAAATGCATCTTATACCTCATTAAAATTTGGTTTGATTCACATTATATTGTGGCATGCACACACTTTCTTAATCCAAAATGGTCAGACATGGGGGGGAAAAATTAGCTTTCTTTATAGATACAGCCATTCCTCTGCCAGGAGCTATGATGCGCTTCTGACCTACCACAGAACATTGCACTAGAACTACAAGACACCACCTCATTCAGTACATATCCCTCTGCCGGGAGCCATTATGTCCCCTTTGTTCATCACAGATTCTTAGGTTCCACCTAGGCCACCTCACTCAAAGCAGATATATTCCTCTGGTAGGAGACATGGTTATTTCCTCTATGCCAGCTATCCTTCTGGCACAGGGGCTCTTGCAATAAATTTTTGCCTCAGAGTGTGGCCACCCATTTTCGCTCTAACAATTTTTCCTAAAATATGTATATCAACTTTAGGAAAAATAATATACACATACATAAATGAATTAAATGATTTGGACATGTAAGGGGTTTCTTGGTTGAAAACTCAAATAAAAATAATGTAACTGTCTTTATTCTTAACTAGACTACACAGAATAGAAACACAAAAAAAGTACTTTGCATGTTGTTATATCTTGTTAGCTGTTTTTGCTTTTTAATAAATTATACTTGCTAGCTAATACATCTGTTGCTGCAAAAAGTGGTATTTGTGTTATATCACTTCACAAAAGCAAATTTGCTACCTAGCTGAGAGGCCATGAAAAACAATACTAGCAAACATACAAATACCACAGCAGACTTACTCAGCCTCAACAACATGGAGAACAAATTAAACCCTGGATGGAGAGGTGGGTAGGCTGGCAGTGCGGGCCAGGGGTAAATGAGGGTAGTGAGCCTGGGCTAGCACCCCATATTACGTAGTTGGGGCCAGTGTCTGCAACTGGAGCCTGAAGCTCCATTGATGGTGTCTACGGTCTGCTACCCCAGGGCTGAAGCCAAAAGCCTGAGCCCTGCTGCCCCCAGGAAGGTAGGGAACTCACACCTGCTGCTTGCTCCTCTGGAGTTTGTAAAACTGTGGCTTCAGAGAGGGAGGGCTGAGCAGTTGCTTTCTCCCCCTCCCAGTCACTAGCAGAAGCTGTGGGAGCAAGAAAAGCCCTCAGTGGCCGCATCTGAGAAATACCCTGTTCTAGCATCACCCACCACTGCCCATCTCTCCGCCAATCCCCTGCTTCCCCTCTGCCACGGCATCCCTTCAACCTTTAGTATCTTTCACCATAAACCACTGCAGCCCTTAGGAACTGCGTGTTTTTCTGGCAGCAACCCCCTGCCTGCCATAGCCTCTGCTTAGCTTTCCCCAGGAACCTAACGAGCCCTTTGCACCAAGGACCGTGACTCACTCCACAAGGAGCAACCCCCACCCCATGCCCGCTGAGATCCCCCACCCCACAGGTGTTACCTACTGGGCCCCTCGCTCTGTAACCCTGCGAGTGGAGGGATACAGGGTTGGCCAGAGGCCTTGAAACACTTCGCAACCACAATCAGGGTAGGGGAAGGGGACCTGGCTGGGAGGGATGAGCCTCGGACCTAGGGCACTGTTGGTTGATGGCTGGGGGGGGAGAGAAGAAAGGGGGCCCGCCGGGCGCATGGATACACACTGGTGCGTGGGCTTTTGAAGTTCGGCTCTAGAAGCCTCAGGCGGAGGAATACCCGGAGTTGAGCAGGTTGTTGTTTTCCCTCTGTCCCAGCAGCGGCGCAACCCCCGGTGGGAGGGCGGCGCCGCGCCCTGGGCCAATCTCCGCTTAGCTGTGGCCCACTAGCTCCGCCTCCGAGTTGCCCTGGGGACGGGACGCCGGGCTCCGCCCAGAGGTGAAGGGCGGCTCCGAACGCCATGGAGGCGAGCAAGGGTGAGGGAGCCCCGAGGGGCAGAGGCGGGACAACAGCGCGTGCAAGGGGGGTCGCCGGGGAAGGGGCTGAGGCAGTGGGATGGCTGGGGAGCTGACAGAGGGGAAGCAGTGGGACGGCTGGGAGTGCATGAGCATATTTTATAATAGCACGAAATAATTAATATAATCGAATGGGTCTGACCTATTACTCCCACACCTTTAATTTTCTGTTACTTTTAGGCATAACCTTTATTAACTAAATCATTAGACATACACCCAGATTTTGCAAAGTCTGGCAGTTAATCCAGGCATTAGCAATGAATAGTGTGTAGAACCAGTTGCACACTTTGGCTACGTCTAGACTGCAACCTCTTCTTTCGAAAAAGTGAGCCGCTTTTTCGAAAGAGAGCACCCAGGCAAGTCTGGATGCTCTCTTTCGAAAAAGCCCTGTTTGCATTCAAGAATGCCTTTTTTTCAAAAGAGCACTTTCGAAAAAAGGCGTTCTTCCTCGTGAAATGAGGAGTACCACCGTCGAAAGAAAAGCCGCTTTCTTTCTATTTAATTTCGAAAGAACGCGACTGTAGTCAAGATTCAGGTGAAGTTTTTTCGAAAAAAGGCTACTTTTTTCGAAAAAACCCTGCAGTCTAGACACAGCCTTAGTTCCCTAGGGGAAACTGTGCCCTCAGTCTTGTGAAGAAGTCCTTGCCTATTGGAATCTGGGAGGTGGGCAGGCGTTAGCCCGTCCACATCTAAAGGACCTCCCCCATCCTATGGGGAGGGTCCACTGAGCCCAGGAAACCAAGTACAGGCAGTCCCCGGGTTACGTACAAGATAGGGACTGTAGGTTTGTTCTTAAGTTGAATTTGTATGTAAGTTGGAACTGGTACATATTGTAGGGGAAACTCTAGCCAAACATTTCTCCAGAGCTCAGTTTTATTCTCCCACACCTCACTTCCCTCAGTCCTTTATTCTCAAGCTGAGGTGTCTGCTGAGAAAAGCCACTCCGCGGCTCCCTGGTCTGCTGGGGGGAAGCAGCTAGTGCGGGGTTGCCTCACCCCGTTTGTAACTAGGGATCCAATGTAAGTCGGATCCATGTAACCCGGGGACTGCCTGTACCTTCATAGTGGAAACTTAACTTTAGAGAAGAACAATTTTATATTTATCCTGAGTCCTTTTATGAAGTACCTAACTGTAAATTTTTGTGGGACACCGAGCAGAGGACCCCGGACAGCGCGCACTGCCCCTCGAAGGTCTCGAGAGAGCCAGCGGAGTGAAGAAGTCCTTGCCCTGGGCATGTGAGAAGCCCCATATTATTGAAGTTAGTGGAAATAAACATATGCCTAGCTTTAAACACATTACTACGTCTTTGCAGGATCATGGCCAAAGTGTTGAGTGCAATGATTTCTGGATGTAACAACAGGATTTGGCCTCTTCATTGTTCAATGATTTAAGATAAATAAAAGGAAAGTTTCATCACTCATAGAAGTCAGATATACCACTTAAATATTATAATGTCAGTTGAAAACCTGAGCTGATAAATAATAGTGCAGTGATGCCATACATATATCTTCATTCTGGATGGAAAAGTCAGTGGAAAGTTAGATTTGGCAGATAGTTTCACAACCCCACTAACCCGCTCTTCTGGCCATGTGTTGCAAGGAGCAGGAAAAATGTTAAAGTCGCCTTTGCTCTGTGCTTGGCCGAAAATAGTCAATTTGCGTCAAACCAAACTAGTAACTTCAAGAGAGTTTTTATAACACAAAAACTTGTGTATGTTTTCAGATGAACAGAGTTTATGGAAGGTGGTAATAAAATACACACAAATTTTATTGCTCATGTTTAAAGGTTGCCTGTAATTTTGTAACTGATAGATTTTTATGGTGACTACCCATTGTGAATAATATCACCAGTATTACTGAAGGCCTCAGCAAACCACAATCCTCTCAGAGCTTCTTAAAAAATGACCTGTTGTGTTTTTGACTGATTTTGATTAAGGATGTTAAGTATTGCGTAATTGACTAATTGAATAGTTGATGCATTTTTGCATCGATTATTCAGTTAGTTGAAGGACGGAGCTGCCTCCTTTGAAATGCGGCTGCAGTGTTTCAAAGGGGCACCGCCATGTGGAGCCCAGGGTCAGCGGGGGAGTCCCCAGCTGATCCCGGGCTTCAAGTGGTGCTGCTGTTTTGAAATGCCATAGCCGCATTTCAAAGCAGCAGCACCGCACGGAGCCAGGGAGATCCCGGATCAGATAGAGGCAGCAAGGGAGGGGGAACAAATTAGTCAACTAGCATGTCGACTCTCCAGCGATTATTTGCTTATCAGATAGTCGACTGGTCAACTGATCTTTAAAATCCCTACTTTTCGTATCTATATATTTAATTGTTTGCTTGTCATAGCTGCTGCTAACTGAGTATGTCAGTAAATAATATGTTGCATTGTTAGCGTGGAAATATTTGTGAGGAAAAAAAAGATTACTTGTTTGCAAATGTCTGTAGGGTAGTGTAAGAATAATGCTTTTCTAAGTTTCTGTCTCCTGGAGCGCAGGCCAACTACCTATAACCTATGCCTTACCTGTTTAATGAGGAGCAATGTATAAATAAATAAATACCATTTAATAAAATGAAAATACTTCAAAATATATTTGAGCATTACGTCAATAGTATTTTTGTTATTAATGCTAGCATTACCTGTCCTGTTGTGATGGTAGATGTACACTCAGGTTGGCCTGGTGCAGGAGGCAAAAGCAGACCTGGCTGCCATCTTGCCCATGAAGGACCCCACGGCTGTGTCCCTGCTGCTCCATTGACACCTCACACCCTCTGTGTGCACCGTGCACTCATACCCATGGGAGAGTGCCATGAGGCCACTGGAGTCCATCATTCAGGTGCCGGTGGGCTAGATCCTGCTGAGTCTGCCTGAACCCACTGGCCAGGCTCCCTGCACTCCTGGCCAGTGAGAGGCCCATGGGTCACTAACCTACTCTCTGTTTGGAGCAACGTCTGGCTGCCATATGCGAGCAACTGTTACAATAAATAAACCTTATTACAGACACTGGAGTTAGGATTCGGGGGTCCCTGCTCTGCAGGCAGAGCTCTGTCCCAGTGGGATCAGCCGGGGGATGAGAGCTGAGCTGTTCTTCTGTACTTCATGGCCTGGCCAGAGGACTGGGCAAACCTGAGCCAGCATTGTTCCTAGCTGCAGGGGAAGGTATGACTTGGTGCCTGAGAGCACTGGGGTAGAGGGGGGCAGCGGGAGCTGGGAGGACCTGCCCTGGCTCAAGTGGGGTGGGGAGTTGAGGGGGAGCTGCCCTGGTTGAGGTGGGGCAGGGAACCAGGTGCTGTCCTGCAGGCAAGGTGCTGAAACCAGGGAGTGCCACACCTCCACTCCATCAAATCCCCTTCCCAGGTTTCCCTTCTCAGCAGTTTTTGCAACTCCAGTATATCTTTTTTAGATGCATTGACCAGAAGTGAATGCAGTATTCAAACTGTGAGCATACTGTGGATTTATATAGCAAAAGTGGAGAAGCTTGGTTTGCCAGACTGATCAGCAAAGCTAATGCTGAGAAACTATGTGAAAAGGCTGCAAAACACAAATCCTCTGGACTGCAGTGACATGCAGAAAACCTTATAAGTCACTCATTGTCAGATCAAAATTTAGAAGTAATTAGTGAGACTGCTAAGTATGCTAGAGACACAACACAATTTATGTGAATAAACATAGCTGTCACATCATATTTTCTCTTTATAAGAGATACAACATGCTACAAACTGGAGGCTAATGTTAAATACATTGCCATTTGTTATTCCTGAAATTGGGACAATGGTTCTGACCAACATCAGTGAATTCTCACTATCTTTCTGCAAGAAACTCAACTGACAGGTATATCTCCATATATTGATATCAATCTCATGGAGCTAGAGGGGACCTTAAGAGGTCATCAACAGTCCCCTGTCCTCACAGCAGGACCAAGTACCATCCCTGACAGATTTACCCCAGATCCCTAAATGGCCCCCTCAAATATTGAGCTCATAACCCAGCATTTAGTAAGCTAATGCTCAGACTACTGAGCTATCCCACCCGCAAGCCATAAAAGCATGTAGAGCAACAGTGAAAGACTCAGCAGTTGGAAAAGCAAAGAACTCTATCACCACATTCATAAAATGTGAATATATGGCTGAAGAATGCTTCAATGAACCTGGCTGTGAAGTATTAAGCCACTGTATATGTTATCTTAATATCAGAGAGTATGTCTACACTCCCCCGCTAGTTCAAACTAGCGGGGTAATGTAGGCATACCGCACTTGCAAATGAAGCCCGGGAAATTCAAATCCCGGGCTTCATTTGCATAAGCGGGGTTTTAAAAATGGCAGCTCCCCGCTTATGCAAATGAAGCCCGGGAAATTCAAATCCCGGGCTTCATTTGCATAAGCGGGGTTTTAAAAATGGCAGCTCCCCGCTTATGCAAATGAAGCCCGGGAAATTCAAATCCCGGGCTTCATTTGCATAAGCGGGGTTTTAAAAATGGCAGCTCCCCGCTTATGCAAATGAAGCCCGGGAAATTCAAATCCCGGGCTTCATTTGCATAAGCGGGGTTTTAAAAATGGCAGCTCCCCGCTTATGCAAATGAAGCCCGGGAAATTCAAATCCCGGGCTTCATTTGCAAGTGCGGTATGCCTACATTACCCTCCTAGTTCGAACTAGGAGGGCAGTGTAGACATACCCAGAGGTAGGTCAATAGGTTAATTTCTAGATGTTCAGTTATAGAAGACACATCAGTTGCATATCTGACAACCATATTTTAAAAGTGTTAAATCATTGTCAATTGAAACAAATACAGTTGGTTGCTTGTGAATTTGATGGAGCTGCAAACTTCTCTGGAAGACGTAGTGGGGCTGTGTCTAGACTGCATCCCTTTTCCGTAAAAGGGATGCAAATTAGACACATCACAATTGCAAATGAAGCGGGGATTTAAATCCCCCCTGCTTCATTTGCATAAACATGGCTGCCGCTTTTTTCGT